GGCACCACCGGCCGTTGGCCATGAAGTCCGATCTGGGGACGGACAGCGGGACACTCCTCTCCTGGCCTGGCTTGCATCTGTCACCCCAGAGCCCCCTGCCCTGGCAGATGTTAGGATGGCCTGCGCCCAGGAGTCCTGGCCTCCCAGCAGGCAGGCACCCACCTCCAAACATTCCCACCCTACACGGCCCAGCAGGACGAAGTGGCTCTGATCCTGTCTACCTTCCTTGTAAGGAGAAAATAAAACCAGCGTCTTCCTTCTCTAGAAGAGGACAGGCCACTCGCAGGCTGTTTGCAAAATCAAAGTCCTTCCTCAAGGAGCCTCAGAAACTCAGCCAGTGTCCCTCAACCCTCAGGGAGGTCTGGCTTGGGGGTGGGGACCTGAAGCCCCTCCCTTCCCCATCCAGGACCCCCGCCTCTGCCGGCATCCCCCTCCGGCTGCCCAGCTCTGTGGGGCCCTGGGTGGGGGCACCAGGACCGGCACATCTAGTTCACACCTCACAGGGACTCGGGCCTTTCCGACAGGCAAGGTTGCCTGTGGGTGCAGAAGCAAGTCACAAAAAGCTACTTTTAAAAATTATATTCATTTTTCTTGATTAGAAAAGTAATACATATTCATTAAAGAAAACTTTAAAAATAGACAAAGAAGATGAAAAAAATGAAAAAGCATCCATAATTCCACCGCCTAGAGAGGGGCGCTATCTGCCTTTTTTGAAAAAATGCACGTCTCCTGCACCAGGTGGGCAGGGCAAGAGGTGACCGCCCTCAGCTGTCTCCAAGCTGAGAACACTGTCAGGAGTGACATTCCTGTCACAGATCAGGGTGGCATCTGGCCCACAAGCATGGGACACAGCAGGCCACCGTGGCCCACTCTTCCAGGTAGGGGTCCTGCCACCCCCCAGCAGCCATGCTGCAGACAGCATCTCTGAGGCCAGCAGCCCCCTTCATCCCCTGGGGAGGGCTGACCCCAGCAGGAAGGACGGTCTAGGGGGCCCCAGGGAAGGCCAGCTGGAGGGTGCCCCTGTCCCTCCAGCCCCCACACGGGGGGTCCCAGGAGGACAGCTACCTTCCTTTTCTGCCTCCGAGACAGACAGCCCGGGTGCCTGTGGGGGACCATGGACTGACATCCAAGGGCAGAGCAAGACGACACCCATGACCACACCATTGTCCTCCTGCCACCAGACACCCCGAGGAGAGCACCCTTCTGTGGGCCACTGCCCCCCCCCGGGGGGAAAATGAGGTGGCCTGGGGCCTCCCCGACGTGGGCTGTGCCTTCGTGCTGGTCGAGGACACAAGAACTGTCCCCTGCTCTTTGACCTGCTCAGAGGGCTCCCAGCAGGGCTGGGTGGGCAGACAGACACCTCCGGACGCTGACTGTCCACCCGGCCCATGTTGGCGACCACGTGCACAGCAGCAGACGTGGGCCAGAGGGACAGGCGTGGGGCTGAGTCAGGGCCGGGCGGGCGGGAGAAGAGGGGGCAGGATGGCGAGGGCTGCACCCACCTGGCATCTGCCTCGCTGTAGTACTCTCTCGCCACGATGTCCTCAAAGAGCTCCCCACCAGTGACCCTGTGGGAAAAGCACACAGAAGTCACAGATTCCAGAGGCCCGTGTCACCCCCACCCCGACTCCGCCAGCAGCACCCCTGTCCTATCGCCACCGTCCCCAGGACAGACGGCTGCCCTGGCGCTTGCTCACTCATGGTGGCATTTAACATTTGAGTCCCCACTCCACGACACTGGCACTCAAGCTCAGAGAGTGGGTCACGGGCTCAGCGACATGCCAGAGCGGCCGCACGGGAGGTGGGTCAGGGCCCGTACACTGTCACCCAGGCCTGGGATTCTAGTTCCAGGCTGAGAAGGTCTGCTCCGCCCCCAGCCCCGGGGCCAGAGCAAAGGGGCCAAAGAGCCGGTGCCTGGATGGGCCTCGCTGGCGAGTGAGGTCGCGGGTGTCGAGAGTCCCAGCTCCAGGAGGACAGCGGATATCTGTCCACATGCCCTCGTGCTGTGTCAGACCTGGAGCCCGTGCTTGCAGGGCCTCTGCAAGCCCAGGAAGGGTCCAGGCTGTCCAGGGTCCCCCGGCTGGGAAATGTGGGTGTGCACAGACGGCTAGCAGGGGCAAGGACAGACATGAAGCAGGGAGGGACTCCCAGGACCTGCCCAGGCCCTCGCCCGGCCCGGCAAGCTCTGGATCACGGGAAGACTCCCATCTAGAGCTTCCTGCCTGAGGGGTCCAGAGCTGGAGGGGCACTGCTCACGGCAGCTGCGCTGGCCCCATGTGCTGTGGTTCCCCCTCTGCATCCAGTTTCCATCAATCTTCTAAGGGGGGCACGGGTCAGCCTCATATTTGTGCCCAGAACTCAGGGCTGGGCTGGCCCGTGGCGAGGACGACCTTGGGCGCGGGCACTGCTGGATGGGTGACCCTGGCGTGGTGGGCTCTTAGTGTTGGAGGAAAACGAAACTGAGGGTGTGTTGGGTCGGCACGCCCCCACTCCAGGCCAGACGCCTGCCCTGTGATCTCGTGGGACCCCCAGCAACCCTGGGAGTGAGGACCTTGCGGTCTCACGTTGCCACTGGTGGCAGCTGAGGCTCAGAGCAGGCAAGCCACCGGGAGGCAGGGCTCCTGCAACTGCACACGTGTGTGTGTGTGCGTGCGCGCGCGCGCACGTGTGCACATGGGGACCAGGAGGAACCAGTTCCAGGTCCAGCCCAGGACACACAGCTCTGCACACAGCTCTCAGGCCAGGCCCTGCACGCCCCGTGTCCACGCACAGAGCGGGGGCCCAGGAGCCCTGAGGCCCCGCCTGGCACCAGGGACCCGCTCTGGGTGCCACACCCACAGGAGGCTGCAGCCTGTTCTGGGCAGCTGGGGCCTGTGGTCCAGAGTGGGGTTCACTGCTGGGGGCCTGGCCACTCTTGGGGGCAGTGTTTCCTCCTATTCTCCCTGTCCTCAGACCTTGGCCGACAATGTGGGCAGCTCTGGGCGACAGCCGTGGCCCACAGGGGAGCCCTACCTCTGTCGCCAGGCCTGGTCCCCAGAGCCCTGTAACATTCCCAGGTGTAGGGAATGGGAAACCCTTCAGACTCCAAATCCACAGTCTCCAAACTGCCAAGGGGCCTGCCGCCTCCCAAAGATGATGCCAACCCAGGCGAGAGACGGTCTTCCCAGTTCTGGGCCCACAGCCCTGGCCACCTGGCGTGACTCCAAGTGGTGTCTCGTGGGACACAGGGGTACTGGGAGGTGGCCAAGCCCTCACAGGGACAGTCCCAGCCTCTCTTGACCTGAGGAATCCGAGTGGCCCAAGGCAGCTTCTTTGAGGGAGAGCCCACATGCAGGCAGTCTCGTCACCATGGTGACGGCACTCCCGGCGCTTCCTTGGCCTTGTGGCAGCCTGGAGGCCACACGGGGCTGCCCACAGCCCATGGCCCCTGCCCACCCCATGTCCCCAGAGGCACTGACTCACGGACAGCTAAATATAGTGCTGCTGAGGAGAGCTGTCAGGGAGCGGGGGATGACATCACCGCTTCCAAATCCAGCAGGAAGTGAGAGGCGGCCGCAGTCCCAGATGCATTCTCACTCCGCCCCCACACATGCACACGCGTGTAGCACTCCAGAACACAGACACACGTGTGCACATGCTATTGTAGACACACACACACACGCGAGTACCAGTCAGAGGCACCCCAGTCCAGCTGTGATGAGGACACCGAGGGAGACGGGGGAGGAAGGCTGATGACCTGCTCCTGGGGCTGTCCCCTTCCTCTCCCCACGGCCTCCAGCGTGTCCTGCACGGAGGCGGGGGCCCAGCACGGCCCGTGGACCGGCACAGGCCGCTGCTGTGCAAACCCGGAGGGCGGGGGGCTGGGCAGGGGCAGCTGGGCAAGCTGACCCGGGGCCAGGGGACTGTCCTCCAGGGGCCGGGAGGCCTCAGACCCGCCAGGCACTTACAGATCGAAGACCAGGTAGTGGAACCCTTCCTCGGAGATGCTGTCGTGCAGGCGCACTGTGGGGACAGGAGAGGCCGTGAGCAGGATCAGGGCGGGCGGCGCAAACCCCAGAGGGGGGCCCACCCCTGCCAGGGGCCTGGGCGTCCCACAGCACAGGGCCGGGGTCCAGGTGGGCGGGCTGCAGGCCAGCACGCCCCAGGCGGAAGTCCACGGGGCGTCCAGATGCCCCTCTGCTCTACCAGAGGGGGACCCAGGGCACAGGGGCTCACACACCAGGCCCCAGAAAGGAACCCCAAGGGGCCTCTCAGGACAGGGGCACAGAAGGCTGAGGGGCAGGACCTCCAGCAGGGACACCCGCCCACTGAGGCATCGCTTTCAAAGCTTCAGGCCCAGGGGCCGAGGGGCCGCAGAAGGGCAGCACAACCATG